TTCCCACATCTTAGATCTCTCCCTCCCTTCTTCTGTTAGACTCTCATCTGGCCAACACCCTGAGTCTCCTCCATCTAAAAAGCCCTCTACTCAGTCCTTATCTCCCTCCTTCCCTTTCCTCTTCTGCTCTTGAAAGAGCAATCTACTGTGTCTTTTGTCTCCACAACTCCAAGGAAACTTTTTTTCTTTGAGGTCACAAATGACTTCATAGGGCTAATCCCAGCAGCTTCTTTTCAATTCTGATCCTACTCCAGCCACCCAGCACTAGGCCCCTGTAATTTTCTCTAATATTGTATGTATTCATTGAGAAAAAAAGCCAAGTATATCAGGAGGACATGAAAAGGAAAGAGAAGGAAACCACTTACTCCTCTCCTTGAGTTGAAGGGTTGACTTCCAGATATCTGTCCATCTAAGCAAAGGTAGAATTTATACACTTAGAGTCCAAATTTACAAAAGGGAAAACATGAAAAACTATATATATATATCTCATTGTATAAGCACCATCCCAGCACCCAATTTCTTACAGTGGGACTGGCTCTAGTTCCCCACCTGGTAAGGAGCATTTTTAGCCTTAGACACGTGGCAAAAGCCAAACTCCTGGACATCTCCATGGCATCGGGACTCCAGACCCATCAGGCCTGTAGCCTGAGTTTCTGAGTTTACATGTGCTTTTTGGCCTATGGAAATTTTATCTTATTTGACTGTAACTCCCACTTCTGAATTTTTTCCTTCTATACTTTACTTCTCATTAGCTTAGGGCCAAAAGCATGAACTTTTGATGCCCATAATCTTGCTCAATTAATGAATCAAAGCATTGAAGGCTGCATGTGATACGAGCCCCTCATTACCTCTTTGGCCTCTTGCTTTCTTTGCTCCAGCCACACTAAGCTCTTTCTTGCCCTGAAGCACTCAGAGATCATTCTTTCCCCTACCTGGTGGGCTGCTCCCCAGATCTCCACTTGGCTTGCTTCCTCTCTGAGTCTTTTCTCAAAAGTCATCTTCTCAGCGAGGCCTTCCCTGACTCCCATGTGAACCTACAGCCCTGCCTGCATTTCAGACCCTTCTCCCTTGCTTATTTTTTCCTCCTTAGTGCTCACCACCTTCTAACGTACCATGTACTTCATTTACTGATCTTCATTTACTGACCTCTGTCTTCCCTCCTATATTGTGAGCTTCATGACGACAGGGATTGTGGGCTGTTTTGCTCACTAATTACAGGCCTAAGAACAATGACTGGCACTTAGTAGGTCCTCAATAAATATTAGTTAAATGAATAAAATTGCTGATTTTACTTAGCAAATATCACACTTGGACTTTGCTCCTAGTCAGTAAGTACAGCTCTTCCTCATTCGTGTTCCAAGGGGATGGCCATACCACAATTTAGCCATTTTTTACATCTAGGATTAGCCAATCTTTTTTAATCTCATAGCACACTTGAACCTACAGTTAAACTTCTGCAGCATACTTAAATTATACTGATTTTAAAAAAAAGAGTGGGCTCGGCGCCT